ATTTTTATTTAAGGAGAAAAGAAAAGAAAGAAAAAAAAACAGGGAAGGGGTACAAGTTATACAGATTTACAGAATAAAAAAATGCGCAGTAGGAAATCACTAGTTAATGGATTACATATTGCCATCTTAGAAATAATTGTTCAAGTCACAAAATTAAAGCTTGTAGAGTGGACATTCCAACAATGATACTGCAGACAGTTCTGTTCAATGATCCAATAAAACTCTGTGATATCATTTTCTATCTTATACACTTAAATATACATGCAGTTATATAGTTTAGAGCACTTTCTTTCCCTCTCTTTTGTACAGTGACTATTACACATTTTGGGTTTCATTGCTCCCACGGTTCTTGTTGCTTTTTTGGAAGAGAGTGAAACCAAATGTGACATAACAGAACAGAATCGGTCAAGTCAAAAGGGTGGACATAATAGATAATATAAAAACATAATACAAGGTGATCAACAATGGTTACCATAATGCCTCCCGCTATTTCTAATAGAATTGCCTATATCATTAGTTGTAATACAATTGAACAAAACCGTAAAGAATAAAACCGACAAAACCAAAACATTGGAGATATTGTAGGTCTTCAAAAGTAGATAAAAGTCAACGAGAATGGGCATTATATTGAATCTCATTATCTTCTCAGCTGATGCCTAAACTTTCGAACCTGATACTATCCAGCAAAACAGAATAGAGGAACCTCAGTCAAAAACAAGATGGTGAGAGTAACACAGGGCTTCAAATCGAGATAATAGAAAGTCAAAGTGGGTTACTATATTATATCCTGCTATATTTTTCCCTTTAATTAAATGGATAAAAATAAAAAAGTAAATAATGGAGTGGAGATTGAGAAAAAAGAGGGCATAACAGCGAAACAGGGCAGATCAAAACATAACCATTTAAGCAGAATAGTGTTTCACCACCAGATAATCCTGACCCAAAAAATAGTTACCATATTGACTCCCTCCCTGAAGTCCTTGAGTGCAACTTCATATACTGTAGCATTAAGTATATCAAAACAATGTAAATCCATTTAAGAGAATGACAGCATTATAGAGTATTTAGAATCGACTAACAGAAAATGAACAATGGTCTCTGTATAATCTCCTTGTCTTTAAAAGGTTTTTATCTTATACTATCGTACTTAACAAAATCCAATAAGATACAACCTGTTTAGACCATTGGAGACAGAAGAACAAAAGCTAGATGAGACTTCAAAACAAGATGGTACTAAATCAGCATTACCTATTAAGATGTCATTTTCTCCAAAAAAAGCTGTTCCTATCATCCAATCTTCTCTGTCTCATTTCTGTTGAGCTCTTTTTCTGTCAGTAGCTGTCAGTTTGTCTTCTTCATTTTGTTCTCTGCTCCATTCGTTGTGGCCTCCCCGCCCCTATTTCTGGGTTCTTTGTATTTTTCTTTTTTTAGAATATCCTGCAATACTTTCTGTAGGGTTGAATTGGTGGTTGCAAATTCCCCCAGTTCCTCTTTATCCTGGAAGCACCTCGTTTTTCCATCAATTTCCAGGGACAGTTGTGCAGGATATCTCAATCTTGGCTGTAGATTATTATCTTTCAAAGCTTGAATTATTTCTCCCCATGCTCTTCGTGATTTGATGGTTTGTGAAGAGAAATCTGCTGTAATTCTGATGGGTCTTCCCTTGTAAGTGATCTGTTTCTTGTCTCTTACAGCTTTTAATATTCTGTTCTTGTATTGAATTTCTGGAATTTTTATTATTATATGCCTGGGTGTTTCTCTGTTAGGATTGTAGGTAGCTGGGGTCCTGTATGCCTCATACATTTGAGTATCTTTACCTTTTGCTAAATTAGGAAAATTCTCCTGGATTATTTCTGTGAGTAGCTTTTGTAGTTCACTTGTTTGTGTCCCTACTTCTTCTTTTATGTTCTTAATCCTTAAGTTATGGCTCCTCTTATCATCTTCTTGTCTTTGTATTATTGCTGTGTGTTTCTTTGTTATTTTTAAGAAGTTTTTCATTTCATTCTCCCATGTTTCAAGTCTGCCCTCCAATTCAGATAGTCTGTCCTTAGTTTCTTTCAAGCTGTTATGCCAGTCTTGGGTAGACTTCTTAATTTCTTGATAGTCCCTTTGCACCTGCTTCACATACTCAGTGCTTTCTCTGTTTTCTCCATCAAGCAATTCTCCCCTCTTTTTCTGTTCTTCCATTCCACCATCTGCTTTTTCCTGGGTGGTGCTTAGCATTTCTCTAACTATTCTGCATACTTCTAGCTTCAGGTCATTGATAACTTCATTCCTGAATTGGTCTATGAGGCTCTCTAGATGGCGCTTAATGTATATTGGTGCAGTGTCCACTGCCTGATTCTCAGGATTGGGGGTCGAGGAGCCTTTTTTGTTGCTTCCCTTCCCCATATTTTCTGTTCCTTATAAGATGTAATCTTACACAGGAGGCCCGGCTTCCCTGCCTGTCAGCCACAGCTTGATCAAATTGCGCTGGCTAGTTGTTCCCGCTCACCGCTGCGCCCCAGGGAGTTGCGGAGGAGGCAGCCTACGCGGGAGTCGGTCGCTCCTCCGGGCCACCGTCAGGCTCTGGGATCTGGGTTAGGCCAGCCTAGGGAGTCCGCGAGCAGCGTCCCTCCGGCCAGGCACCTTTCACCAATCCCATCCAAGAGGGAAACGTGCGGCTGCAGTTGACACCACGCCCTGCTCTTACAGGACTGCCCGCGCCCAGAAAAACCTCCGCTGGAGTCAACCTGCGGTAGGGAGTCAGTTCCTCGCTCACCTCGCCACCAGTCAGCCTTCCTCCCTGTCCGTCACGTTTCCGACTCCGTTCGCAGATTCCCGTTCCCAGAGCTCGGCGGCGGGAAATCCAAACCGCGGTTTCCAATGGCGCGGAGTCGAGCCTCCACACCGAGATTTTTCTGTTCCTATTTTAGCGCCAGGACTGTATTCCAAGTTGGATTCTCTCAGCCCAGTTCGTTCCTGAGTCAGCAGAGCATATCTCTACTGGTTCGTATCTCCTTAGTTCGCATCATTCCTGGCCTCTGAGCCGAGCCTTTAGAGAGCGTTCAGTAGTTGCTGTTGTCTGTCCGCCATGTTTTCGAGTACTCGCTTCCTCTATTTCTCTCATCTTTGTTAAATATTTTCAATCACTACTCTGAGTTATCCCTGTCTTACAAAAATCCTCATTCTTATATTTTTACATCTTTATGTTTAAAACTTGAATAATCCCCAAATATTTTAGCCTAGCTTTCTTTTCTTTCCTTTATTTGCACTGAGTTACCCACAACCCAGCCTTTTTAATTTTTATTTTAATTTTGAGGTAGTGTTTCACTAAGTCACTAAATTGCCCCCTCCCTGGGTTTCAACTTGTTATCCTCCTGCCACAGCCTCCCTTAGTGCTGGGATTATAGGTGTCCACAATCACAAGTTCATACTCTTGATTTTCAAGAGCCTTATAGTTTGCCCTGGTTTAATTACAAATATATTTCCTCATTTTTCAATGTTCTAGATGTCATCTGCTCCCTAATTTGTACTATCTGTAGCTGATAACTCCCCATACTTTGTGGCATGTATGCTGATGTTTTGCCAGGCAAGTCTGATTCATCACCATGGGTAAAAGTCTTCCTATCTGTGTCAAGATTTAATCTCGCCCTCTGAATCTCAGGATTCCTGAGGTTGCTTCATCTGTCTTCCTCCTTACATCATTCACTATACCTTCCAGACCATCTGTTGACATCCCTCACCATTTATTTTACTCTACCTTACATTATTCCTAAGGCTGTCTTATGATTTTATTCTATAGATGTTTTTGAGCACAAGAAAAAAGATTGATTTATTCTCTTTCATTCATTGATATTGAGCACACATGTAACAATATATACCATCAAGTAAATTTGGCATAACACCGTTACTAGACACTCTTTTTATCCCAACTATAAAAGTCCTCATGTTCTTTGAAAATATTTAGAATGGTCTCCACAATGAAAGTGGGCTTCTAGTGCCTTATTAGTCATGATCTGGAGTAAATGATCTTTTTACAAAGTGTAATTGAAAAGTATAGGAAGGTTTAAATTCTGGGGGGAAAAACTTGTTATAATAAGACATCATGACAAGAACAATGAGAATCGTGTGTGTGGTGGTTAACTTACTGTCAACTTGAGCATGAACTCCCAGCTGAACTGAGTGGACATGCTTCAGGGCTTAGAATACCCACTTAGGGAGGCTTGTTTTGGGAAGGGTGTCAAAGGGAATGTAGGAAGGATTTCAGCTGATTTCCCTTGGAAGAACTTCACTCAGGCTATTCTCTTTGACTAAGTACCAGTCTTCACCTTTGCCAAGCACAGATGCCATACTCAGGAGGAGCTCTGCTCTTTGCCTATTCCTAGGGTGTTGTCATTTAGTTTTTGGTGCAGATGGAATCATCTACCACTGACCCTTAGGGTTTCCAGTGCAAAACCTTCAGTCTTTCCTGGAAGGTTCCTAGGTCTTCTGTTGCTAACTTGCACAGGACACTGCTGTGAGCCCCAGAGCTTCACTGGATTCTTGGATCTCTAATTCTAGGGTAGATGTCTTGCACTCTTCTACATTTGACTCTGCAGGAAGGTACTGAGAGCTAATCTTCTAAATTTCCATGTCCTGCATTAAATTTGTTTCTCATAAATGCCATCTACAATGGTGTGTTCAAATGATGGAGAATATTTTGAGATTAATGGTAATATGATTTAATGTAATATTATAAATTTATATATTATTCATTATATGTTTTGATTACACTGTGTACATTTTAGATATTTAACCTCTTTCAAAACTGAACTTAAAAGAAATTAAAGTACAAACAAAAACTAATAGAAGAAAATGAAAGACCTAATTCACAATATTTTTAGGGGAACAATTCTGGGAGTAAGAACTCCAATATGTAGGGGGCAAAAGAGAAGTGGACAAGATATGATCTTCCACACAAGGAAAATAGTGCAGAGACATTCCACAAAGGATAGAAACTATTTCCAAACTAATACATGTGCTTTTATAGCAGTTTAGTCTGAAATTTTGGTAAGTTTTTCTCTGAACGATTTATATTTATTAGTTTCTACCAAAAAGATTACTTTGTTTTTCCATACACACATTAAGTTCTTTTCAGATAATTATAAATGGCAGAGGAAATGAAGATCCCATGCCCTCAAAAGATACATGTCCATCTCGGTATGAAAATGCATTTAGCCTATATATCACAGGTTCCAAAATCTTAAAAATTCAAGCATGACAAAGAGTCCAAGTCCAACTCTCCTCTGAGACTCAACACACATTTTAATTGTGAGCCCCTGTAAAAATCAAAGCCTTGCCTACTTAACTATGGAGCTTACCTACTTCCAACATACAAAGGCACAGGGTTACTATTTCATTGCAAAAGGAAATCATAGAAAGGCATCAGACCAAAGCAATCCTGAAACCTGACAAACCAAACAATATGTCCTGCAGCTCCATGTCTAGCACCTGGGCAAGCTGTGGTGAAAAGCAAATTCCAAGTGGCTTGCGCATTCTCCTGCCCCTTGAGCATTGTCATTTACAGCACTCATGTTGTCTTTCTCAGGCTGGCTCCAGGCTGCAGATTTCCTTAGCACATTTTCCACATTTCTATCATCTCCTACACCTGAGGATCTCAGAGCTTCCCACACCAGTCTCGCCACTGCAGACTGTGGCCCCTGTGGTCTTCTTCTTAAATCTGAGTGGAAGCCTGGATGAACCTACAATACTTGTATTCTGCATGCCTATAAACCCCCATTTGCCCTCACAGATGGCTGCTCCTCTGATAATTCACCTCAGCTCCCTTGATTTTGAAGCTCTGGATTCTTCCTCTTAAATGGGCTGTGGTTTGTTTCCACTTGATCTTTTCTTAGTGTGGGTGATTCCTGACATATGATGTAGAGAACTGAAATTAGAGAGGGTGCTAAGATGACCCATGCTGAAAAGGCTGCTCTGCGGGGATTGAAAATGCATGGGAGAGCAAAAGACTCAGGACCTTCCTTCCCATTTCCCTGATCTCTAATTCTCCTTATGTTTTTCCTCAAATGTATCTGCCCTTGGGGCTCCTGTAAAGACAGATACAGTTAATGACTTTTGTAGGAGTGAGGGCCTTTCATAGGGGCTTTCAGAAATTCAGAGCCTCACAACAGCTTATGATCCATTGGGTCAGAGTCTGCATTTGTAGAAGAGCTCAGGTGACTTTGGACACAGAACATAGGGGGAGCCCCAAATGGAACTGGAAGCTCTCTTTAGGACAAAGGAGCAGTGACATTGCCTGCGAACTTCTAGGAGAAAGTTTGCTCTCTGAAAGCTCTTTGGAAACAGTAGCTGTAGGAACTGGAGGTATTGTAACCTGAGGTAAATCTCTCATTCTGTTCCCCATAAGAAAATGGCTTAACCTCCCTATGTGAAGTGCTGGCTTAGTAAAACAGGAATCCTAGTGCTTAAACTGACCTCAGGCAAACACTAAGAACATTCGATGAGATGAACAATGAGCACCTGCCAGGAGTTCAGTAAACCCCAGGATTTTCTCACAAACAAAACCAAACACACCTGGACACTCACGAGGTTCCCAGATGTAAATGACCTGCATGTTGTCTTCATAGCCTTACTTTGCAGTTCATCCAGAATCCTACATTAGACTTGGAAAAGCTATGGGATCTGTCAAAAGGCTTTGGGAGGGAATTTGGGAAAGAGAGGCGAAACAACCTGTACAGGACACAATGTTTGATAGCATCCAACAGCAGATACTTGGTCCATGGCAAGGGTTCTGTGGATCCTGTGTCATTTGAACCTGGACCCCAGAATACTGTTAGTCAATTAAAAAGAAACAACTACAAAGCTCAGGTTAAGAACAGTTGTCCCTTGACACTCTAGTACAAGTTGGTGGAAACATATCTTAGCAAATATTTCTCCTGTTCTGTTTTGTAGACCAGCTTTACAGATGGATCATTTCAAGGAGTTTCTAGATGAAGAGCATCATAGAGTTCACTCAAATGAATGTACTCTTGTATTGGCAAGGTCCTGGATTCAAACTCCATGTCACATACATTTAAAAAAGCCCCCATATGACATTAGGTCACATGATCTAAGGAGATCCAGAGCAGGCCAATGAGGTGAGAGTTGCTGGCTAGGGCCAGGAATCCCTCAACGGTTCGAGTGCTGTCCATGGTGCTGGTGGTGGGGACACTAGGGGTTGCAGGGCTGTCCCATCTCCCCTTACTCCTTTCCTACCTGCCTGGTGCCCAGCAGCAGCCTTCTCAGGGCCCCCTTCACCTCTTTGTTCCTAAGGGTATAGATGAGGGGGTTCAGGAGCGGGGTGACACTGTTATAGAAGAGGGTGAGGAACTTGCCCTGGTCCTGTGAGGAGCTGTTCCCAGGCCTCATGTACATGTAGATGATGTTTCCGTAGAAGAGCAACACCACCGTGAGGTGGGAGCCACATGTGTTGAAGGCCTTTTGCCTTCCTGATGCTGAGCGCATCCGCATCAAGGCCCTCATGATGTAGCCATAGGAGACCAAGATGAACAGCAAGGGTGACAGCACAATGCCCACTGCCAGGACAAACACGGCACCTTCGATGGGCACTGTGTTGATGCAGGCCATGCGGATCAGGGCTGGCATCTCACACAGGTAGTGATCCACACGGCGATGCCCACAGCGTGGCAGAAGCAGGGTCACTGGAGACATGGCCAGGGAGTTGGCCACCCCACAAACCCAGGCCACTGACACCAGGCCCAGGCAGAGTCTAGGGCCCATGATCACCATGTAATGCAGGGGCTTGCAGATGGCCACAAGGCGGTCATAGGCCATGACAGCCAAAAGCAGGCACTCCACGCCTCCCAGAGCCAGGAACAGGAAGAGCTGGAGGGCACAGCCTGCAAAGCTGATGGTCTTGTCTGGGCCATGCAGGTTATACAGCAGCTGAGGGATGGAGCTGGTGGTGAAGCTGAGGTCCAGCAAGGACAGGTGGGTGAGGAAGTAGTACATAGGGGTGTGGAGGTGGGGATCCAGCCGGGATACCAGGATGATAGTGGTGTTGCCCAGCAGAGTCAGGAGATAGGCCAGCAGGATGACCACAAAGAGCATGCTCTCCAGGTGGGGGTGGGCAGAGAAGCCCAGCAGGATAAAGGTCTCTTGGGAGCTAACATTGCTTCCAACCATCTCCAGTGCACCTGAGGAAGACAGTAGTAGTACTGGTGACAGTGAGATGTGACAGAAGCAATTACTATTTGCCAGGAGTTCTTTTATGAACTTTTCTGTGGGAGATGTTTTTCTGTGAGGGGTGGTTGGGATTAATCCCAAGGCCTTCACACTAAGCTACCCCAGGCATTTGTTTTTAATTCTGCCACATTTTGCTCAGTCACTACATTGGTCAGGCTTGGATTAATCTTCAGGTCCTCCTCTCTCAGCCTCCGTGTGCTCGCTTTCAGGTGAGCACCATCATACCAGTCCTCTTTTCAGTGTCTAACATTTACTCACTCACATAATCCCAACATCAGTGGTGTGGAGTTGGCACTGTGATAACCCCCAGCTTATAAAAGGAAACCAACAAACCTGAATGTTCAGCAAACTGTCACCTGTGGAAAGGGACAGCATTCATTCTTAAGCACGGTCAGGCTCTTCTCCCTGTGCCTTGCTGGTGGTGGCTCCAACTCCACAGAAGTCAGAGAGAAAGATGCTCAGTACCCTGCCACATCCTGGGCTCCTGTAGGAATCCCAGAGACACAAGACGGGGTCAAGACAGTCAAACAGCAGATACAGCTAATTCTCCAACACATGTGTCTGCTCACTTGCGACCCTTATTCCCGGGGTGATATTAAATTACATGAGAAGACAGTGATGAGGAATAAAATATTATCACTAAAGGACACACCTAAATGTTCCTTTCAAACCAGCACTCAGGTGTGGGCTGTCACCTCAGCATGCTGGGAGCCTGAGGCATGACAGCAAATTCAAGGTCACATGGGGAATTCAGAAATGACCTGGCTCAAAATTCAAACCAACAAACAAGTCAAATAACTTAAAAGAGCTGGGCTTGTAGCTCTTTTAAGCGGAGGCCTTGGTTTCATTTCCTTGTACCTCAAAAAAAATATCTTTTATAATTAGACAACAGACAATTTCATGGAGAAACTGACACTTGAAAAAAGAAATTTTAAAATTTTATAATAGATTATACTGCTTGAGTCCAGCACCTGACACAGTGGAGGAAATCGTACTGAGCTTCAGTTCCTAACATGCAGTCTTCAGAGTAAAGCACATTTGCTGGGATTCATCACATCACAGACAGACACAGAGAAGCTGAGTCAACATAAAACAGGCCCAGCATCTACAGGCCCCTCTGTTAGAGTCCGTTCACCACAGGGCACGGTGTTTGAGACTTTGGATGCTCACTTATGTTTTAATGCTTTATCAACTTCAGTGGCAATAGTTAAATCTATCTTACCCATTTCACAGAAAACTTTTCACAATTCAGAAAAAGAAATATAACATAAATATAAAATATATAAAAGTTTCTAAATGTAGGTTTCCTTGTATGTGAAATAAAGCTCATGTACCATAAAAACGGGGAGCGTGAAAACAAGTTCATAAGACTAAGCAGGGAAAAATTTAGGCAACAAAATAGCCTTTGGAGGAAAACTGCATGAGTATCTGCCTAATATGCTTTGAATGTCATAACTAAAACACTGTGACTGACAAGATACTTGAGGAGAAGGCAGAGAGTATGTATTAATTACTCTCTATCACTTAGGTAAAACTAAATCATAAAATCTATACTTAAACATTTTTAAAAGTCTACTATAAGTAGATGTGATAGGATTTTTTCTTTTGCCCTGCTCAGCATAGAATAAAGGTTTTCCAAGTCAAATTTCATTTTTCAAATACTGTAAAGTAAAACAGGACAGAAAATTTGTTCACATTATAAAAAAATCTGCACACCAAGAAAGAATGCTGACAAAGTCTATAATTTTGAAAGTCAAGAGACTTCCTTGTAAGATTTTTTTTTCAAAAAATTGTCCAGAAACACCTGAGGCAAAACAAAAATGAGCACTGATTTAAAGAAGCATTTCACAGGAAAACAAATCATTTATGGACAACTGATTTATGCACATGAGAGAGTGTCTCACTAGTGACTGAGGATATCACATGGAAACAGAGAGGTCTGCTCTCTAGATAGGTCTCTGTAGACCCTGGAAAACACTGTGAAGTCCAGAGTTCAGAGTCTGTAGAAGGAGCTCATTCCCCCTGACCCTGTGATGCAAGTTGAACCTGGAATGTTGTCTTTACAGAAATCTGTTTTGGGGCTGATGATTTAGCTCAGCGGCATAAGAATCTGCCTTACAAGCAGGTGATTGTGAGATTGATCCCTGGTACCGATAAAAAAAAATCTTTTGAAAAGATCCCTGCTTTAAAATACACATGTAACTGGACAGGGCATAGGTTACTTTAACAAACTATAGATTCCAAACAATAGAAACTGACTTGCTTTGTCCCTCCCTGGTTGTGCATTTAGACACCTGCACTCAGGATTCCACCCTCACTGAGAGACCCCCCACCCTCAAGAACCCTCTTGGGAGCTCTGAATGAAGGAGATGAGCTAGGAAACAATTCCTGAGTTTAGTCATGGACCTGAGGTAACAGGCAGAGATGTCATCATGAACTTGACAAAAAGACTCCTAAATTCAAGTAAGCACAGATCTATGGTCTCAGAGTTTAATACAAAAACAATAATTTCCAACAAGCAGAAAAAACAGACACACTGACATGCCCAGCGGGGCTGCCCCTCTCCATGTCTACTTGCTCATACACACAGAGACACTTGCTTCAGTGGAAGAAGAAATCGACGAGCACGTGCTCCTGGGCAGCGGGATGGAGGTGAAGGAAGGCTCCCAGTATCCTGTGGTCCTTTACAATACAGTAATAAATTAGCTTGCAATCTAAAACATGTATCAGTGAGCATAAACCTGCTAGCTGACATTGGGGTTGTGTCCTAAAATCATGTTGTAACTTGTTAACGCACGACTTTAGCTTTGCCATTCTCCTTTACAAAGATCATTTGCCCCACCTGCTCAGCAATATTTTTCTCTCAAAATTAGCTGAAATAGGAAAAAAGTAGGAAGAAACTTGGGACCACACACACACACACACACACACACACACACACACAGACCAAAATGCATTTCCCACCACCACAAGGACACCTGAGCATGAGGACAGTTCCGGGTACACATTGGAGAAGCTGAACCTCAGAATCCCTGAAAGAGACCAGAGGGGGCGCTGCGAGCTGCAGTGCTGTGCAAGTACAGGGCAGGGCTGTGTGTGGGTTTGGGAGAGCTGGGAACTCAGCTTTTCTCCCAGCTATGGCCCCTCAGCTGCAAGGTGAGCAGGACTTCCTCAGGGAGGCTGCAACCATTGAGAGGGACCCTGACTCTCTGCTCCACATCCAGTGAGCTCAGCAGCAAGCGGCCGTGTCCTTGTTTCTCTTAAGAAAGACAATTTTCCCCAATCTTTCAGGAATGGAAAACATGGCTCTGCATGGTGGGGAGCGGACTGGAGGGCTTTCTTACTGAAACTTTTGCATTGCTACAAACATACTGGCTCAAATTTGATTCTACTGAGCTAAGGCATTGTTTTAAATGGGAACAAATGCTGTTTCTAAAAGCCAGGGACTGCCCTTGCCCCTGCCACTCCAGCACCTGTGCAGTGCCCACGAGAGCTCTCTGCCCAGGAGGACAAGGGCTCTCATGAGGGACCGACACCCTCACTTCCTGCAGGATGTGGGGAGGACACGTTCTCCCCTCTGAATTGGTCTTGGGAGGACTAGACCTTTGCTCCCTTTGTGAGCAGAGCTCCAGGACTCAAGGCTCTCATTGATTCTGCTAGTGCACACTTCCTGCAGCCTCTGTGCCTTTCCTGACCTCACCAAGCATCTGACCTCGCACAAGGGGAGTCCTTCTGTCTGCCAGGGAAGTCTTCAGGGCCCCAAATTCCTCTCCTGCTGCTGGAGAGTCTGGCCACCCTGTCCCTTCAGGCTTCACATAGGAAGGATTAGAGGAGCTCCTGTAAGCTAGGCACCTCCTGGGATCCTGTCCAGCTTCCTGCCTGGGGGATGACTTCCTCTCGGGATTCACAGTGGGGCAGGGGAGAACCAGGTTAGCACTGGAGACCTGGGCACCCCACAGAGGGGCAACACATGAGAGGTCAAGAGAAGCCTGAAGAGAGAACGCTTTGCAGAGACAGTGCTGCAGGGACCTGGAGACAGTGGGATGTGCTCAAGAAGGAAGGGGCTGTGTATATGTAAGGGCCCAGATCCACTTGTGTGCTGGGGACTGTGGGTCCAGACAATGCACCAGGGTAACAGCACCTGTCCCTGTGGAACAGAAGGGCAAACAATGGAGAGCAAGCATCCCTGGTTCTCAGCCACCAGGGATGTATAGCCCTTGCTAGAGGGCGAGGCTGTTCATGAGATTAACACTTTCCATTTATCTTCAACTTTTAAAGTTCTTTAAATGAAAATAAAAACTATTCATTCTTAAATTTAAATTTGATTTCAAATTATGTCACACTGTCAAGATCAAAGAATCTGAAACTCAGGAAAAGGGATGGGTACCACAAATAAAGCAGGACAGGCAGTGGGGTACACCTTCTGGACCTGTGTGAGCCTGGATCACCCCAGCATAGGACAGTTCATATTTCCCTCATGAGAGGCCAATGATGTGCTTTTGATTTTTTTCCTTGCAGAAAAATGAAATTTACTTCTCAGGTTTTGTTTTCTTACTTCCGCCTGACAAACACCAGGCTCTGTTTTGTATTGATGTCCTGGATTAAACCCAGGTCTCACGCAGACCACATAGCACTCTAGCCCAGCTATCCCCATATCCAGGCTGCTTAGTTACTTACTAAGATAAGCGAGCTGTGCAGATCTCTTAGGTGACCTCAAAACCCAGAACCGGACTCACCACATCCACCGGCATGGTGGCAGTGACCACTGAGCATCAGACTGTGAGACACGTAGACAGAGCAGGTCTGGGGTCAGCAGGGAGTGACTCTTCTGGTATATGGGCAGGGAAGCCTGGGGGAGGCAGCTGTGCAGGGGTCGGTGCCTCCGAGGTTCCCAGCATTAACTCTGTGACCAGCTGCAGAGTTTATGAGCAGCAGATGAGGCCCATCCTGTGAGGAGGGAGGCCACATCTAGGGTGCTCAGGGAGCTCCAGGGACTCTGTGGACCCCAGGGCATGATCGGGGGCACAGAGGCAGGGACTAGCTATGCCCCTCAGCCTCCTGCATCCCACTGGTCACCATGGAAACAGGACCAGGAGGATTTGTCCCTGGATATAGAAAGTGCTTAGTGGAAGCAAACTCAGGATCCGAAGCTCACTGCTGTTGCAAACACACTAACACCATGGGCCAAGCACTGCCTTCCCCATCCAGGAAAGCTCAGCAGAGGGGTCATCAGCCCAGGCTACCCTAGAACAAGGCAGTACACACTTCTCCTTAGAGCTCTTGAAATGGGCTGAGTGTCTTTACAACTCTGTGCTAATAAGTGTGGGTTTGGAGAGGATCTGATGTCACTGAGGGGTATACTAACAGAAGCTGATGGACCAGCTGTCAGGGCAGCCTGCTTTTAGCTCTGAATTTGAGAGAAAGTTGTCATCCACAGGGGTCCATAGTTTAGTCTCAAAAACTAACTGGGAAGACACAGAGCAAATATCTGAGGTCCAAACTCATTAAGATTTAAAAATGTACCTGTGTTTTTAATGCTCCTGCTAGGGGAAAGCAACCTCTGAAGGCTGAATATTCCAAATAATCACAGCAAAGGGAAGAGACACTCAGAAACCAGATCCCTGCCTGTCATCAGCAAGTCAATGTCAGAGAAAAGCCAGACTCCTGGGCTTGTGTCACTATACTCAAGGACACAGTAGGAGGATTCTGTGGGGCCTGGGGCTGATAGACAGATACAGGGGTCCTGGCTGGTGGTGACACACAGGGAGCCTGGACTGTGCACACTCAAACTCTCCTGCACAACAGAGGAGCAGGTCCTGAGAGGCCCCAAAGCAAAGAGAAATCCTGTATGGAGGCCTGAGCCAGGAGCACAGTTGGGTTTAATGAGTCCCTCTGTTCCTGTGTCTCTGCCCTTTGGGACCCAGAAGCCCCAGTCCTAGCTCTGCCTGAGTCGCCTCCTCCCCTGCTAATGAGCACATCTCACTCCCTCCTCCAGCCAGCTCCACCTGCAGGCTTCCACCCAGGGTTCCCACAGGGCAGGAAGTCCTTCATTAATTCCCTGAGGAACCTGTCATTCAGCCCAGGAAGGGAACCAAGGAGAGCACAGTGGCCCCGAGACTAGTGACCACTCACTCCTGCAGCTTCCCAGATGCACAGACAGAAACCTGCACAGAGCACCTCCCTGGGGACACAGCTCCAGAGCTGAGGGTTAGGAAAACAAGCACTGGAGGGTGAGGGCTGATTTCTCTTCCCTTCCCTCTTCCTTTTGCAGTGCGGAAGGTTAAACCCAGGGCCTGTGGGTCTTTCTCATTATTCTTGATAGAGAAGAAGGAAATTAGATTGTTGTTGGCATACATAGTGTTTAAGGGAAGGTCATTGTGGATAAAATTCATAAAGGACTGCCTGGAAAACCCCAAGATGTAATAACAGGGTACACAGAGGGGAGGAGTAGGTGGGGAGGAGATGACTGAGACTTCTCTGCAGAAAGCTGCTTCCCCACAGTTGAGATGCAGACAGACACAGGAACTGTAAGCCACTTTTAATAAAAATAAGAAGCTAGAGAAGTAGCCAGTGTGACCTCTCAAGGGTCAGCCTGAGAGCAGAAAGCCATGTGTGATTCCACAGTGTCACACTGGTACCACAGGAAGCCACAGCAGCAGGAGGCTGGCACTGCCCCGGGCACACACTGTCCTTACAGCACTAGAACGGGGCACCTCTTCACAGCTGGCTTCTATTTCAATCATCTCTCTACCTGACAGCCACTTTAATCACTTAGCACATGGCATTAAAGTCGACCACAGAGCAATTGTCCAGTGACCACTAACAACAGTGTCATCATGATGTGTCACACTTCACAAATGCTTTATGTCTACATTTAATTTTGCTTTTCAGAGTGCCCATCATTTATTCATTCAACAAATGTGCATTCAGAGATAAGCATGTGCAAGACTATGAGGGCCTTGGCATATGCTGCCAAGCACACTGGTCAACAGACAAATATCCTTCTCGTCAGGGTGCTTACAGGCTGCCACACCAGGACAAGGATACCAATAAATAAGTTAAAAAGTGAATGAATATGAGAACAACACAGCGCATGAAAGGTGGTGCCTGGTTCCTGGGGAAAGTGCCTCCTGCAGGACATAAGGGTGGAGGACAGTGCTGGGGTCTGCAGGGCAGAGCTGGGAAGAGCCCTGCTGGGAGGCTGAGGGAGCTGCTGAAAGGAAGAGCTAAGGGGTCAGGGAGGGACAGAGAGAGACAGAGAGAGGGGAGCATGTGAATGGGAGGGGAGGGGAGAGGACACTGAGACCCACAGTTAGGAATCTGGTCTGGAACAGACTCAGATGGAGGCCGGGGTGAGGGCATGGCTCTGTGGCTGGCTCTGTGGCTGGCGACTGCGTGACCGTTCCAACACAGAGAGGAGTTAACCCGGGCACGGCTGGGAAGCTGCTCCCAGGCACCCAACAGCATCTGCAGCAGAGGTGGAGCGGGGATTTGATCTGAGGTCAGAAAGGACAGCAAGGGCAGTGGTCACTCAGCTCTTGCATGTGGGCCTCCCCGCTGGCCCTCTCCAGCTCTAACTGACCCAGGGGCACTCTTCCCAGCTCTTCTTTTTGCAGCACTTTCCTCTTCAGTGTTCTCTCGTGTTTCTTTGTCTTCTTTTGCCTGAACACAGTGCTCAGCTTTCACCTTCCTAGATTTTCCCACCTGATCCTCTGACCAGGACAGAAAAAGACTGGGAAGGACCAACTGGTCACTACAGTGCCTGCTAAGGAGACTGTGCTGAGCAGCCTAAGGAGCGGCCACTCCTGACTGTTATTGCATACAATACTGTGAATGGAAGGACGGCGAACAGAACTGCATGTTAATATGCAGGTTTCAGGGTGTTATCTCATTTGCAGGGGCCTTAATTTGAAAGACAACTCATCAGGAATGCATGTGGAGCCATCCAGAAGTAGGGTTTGTGGACAGTGCTGTTTCTAAACTCCTCCTCCTGCCCGCTTCCTCCATGCCTTCTCTGTCCCATGAGGACACTTCCCAGACCCACACAGGTGCAGCCTGGTCTCTCGAGGAGCCCACAGCCTGCCCCCCCCCCACAGGACCTCACAGGCCTCAACCAGTTCTCAGGTAGGCGTCTCAGGACCATCAGGATCCAGAAGGGCCCAGGATGCCCCACTTTCCAACTCTGCCTCTGGCCCAGGGGGCAAAACCAGTGGGTTCGTATCACAGATGAAGAAGTAGGGCCGCAGGACTCCAGAGAAGAGCTGGCGGAAGGTGTAGATGTGTGACCCGTGGGTGACATCATAGAAGGAGACCTCCCCAGCCTCATAGTCCAGGAAGAGCCCCACACAGCCTGGCCTGCACGGCTGCAGTGGTGGCACAGACGGTGAGCCCAGCACCATGTACTCAGCACCCTGCAGCAGCCACAGTGCCCACACGCCATTCTCAGGGGACGGGGTGGCCTCACCCTTCCTGGGCAGCGAGTCTCTGCACAGGCCCAGGCCCCACTCAGCGCCCTCACCCACCATCACTTCCCAGTAGTGCCGGCCTGAGGAGAAACTCTGCAGGCCCAGAACACAGGGCCAGGTGTCAAACCGCTCAGGGTTCCCTGGGACAGACCTCCAGAGCTCCCCTTCCCACACCGAGCGCAGGTCAGCTGTCAGCAGCAGGCTGGGATGTGCTGTGCTGGGGTCCAGCTTCAGGTCCACTGCAAGAGGGAATGGGGAGAATGGTAAGCAGCTGGGAGGCCCCAAGGGAGCCACGCAGGGACCTGTGTCCTCACCAGTCATCTCTGGAAGAGACCATAGGCCCCGCAAGCTGCTGTGCTGACATGGAACACAAGCCACACCAGGGATGGCTGGCTCAGGCTAGTGTCACCAACCAGGTCATGCAGGAGAAGGTCCAGGCCCTGAGCTCATAGTGGCCCAGATCCGGGCTCAGGTATTGGACCTGTGCCCATCCACAGCCTCGGAGCTGCTCCATCCTCTACATTTATATCTAAACTGGGCCAGAGAATAGTCCGACCTCAGAGAACTCCACTCAGAAGACAGGGCTGACCAACCCTGGATGCCCGTACTGTGGACCAAAGAGCCTGGGAGTGGGTGTGATCTGAAGCTGTGAACCTGTGATAATTTGTTACTTTACCAAAAGAAAAAACAAAACACCTTCCTATTGCCCAATAAGGTTCCAGGAAGACTGATGCACCCCAGATTCCTTCCTAACAAACAGGAGCTTAGAGGAACAAGCGTGCTGAGAATACCAGGAGACACTTCCCCCTTCATGTCCAAAAGCAATAAAGCAATGAATGAACTTTAATTTCTAATGTCACAACAAATACGCTATCATTACTACTGCTACTCTATGTACCCTTACGTGTGTGTGTGTGCGTGTGCGTGTGCGTGTGCGTGTGTGTGTGTGTGTGACTGAACTGAACCCAGGACCTTTGCCCTAAGCTGCATCCCGGCCTGACTCCTCTTTGTAAAAAGGTTTGTGAGACACTGTCACTAAGTCGCTAAGTTGTCAGGGCTGGCTCACACTTGCACTCCTCACTTCACAACCTCCAGGGAACTGGGATCCCAAGCACTGCCTTGCTCCTTCTCCTCCTCCTCCTCCTCCTCCTCCTCCTCCTCCTCCTCCTCCTCCTCCTCCTCTCCTAGGCTCAGCTGTCCCTCATGGGACAGGACTTCAGGCCAGTGCCCAAGTCCCCAGTGACCTCCATGTGGACAATGGCCACTTGTCAGAATTTTCCTGCTTTTCTGCACTTGAAGCCTTAACAGGCAGGTCCTTCTCTGCATTCACCATCTCTCACCTCTCCCTTGGTCTCCCTGCTCCTCTTCGGTCTCCTCTGCCCCACCATCACCAGGAACCTGAAGTCTCTGCTCCAGGCCTTACCGCTCTCTCAGCTGACCTTGATGTCCAATGTCATCCACTTCATCCACCTTTGTTTTCATTAAGCTCCACTCCTTTGCCAGATGATTTCAAGGCAAACCTCAGGCTAAAGCATTCTGAACTACATGTCTGTGAACACATGTGCCTGCCTGATGCACGTATAATCAGCATTCAGCACTGCAGTAACATCCTCGTTCCTGTGTCCAAGGCCATCCCCCTCTACATTTATATCCCTGCCTCACCTGCAGCCTCACCCACCAATGTGAGCAGGAACCTCAGGATGCCAGGCTTTTTGTTGTTGTTGTTGTTGTTCTTGTGTGCTTGTTGTTATTGTTGATGTGTGTGTGTGTGTGTGTGTGTGTGTGTGTGTGTGTGTGAACACTGGGGATTTAACCCAAGAGTGCTCTCCCACTTTGCTACATCACAAAACCATTTTTATTCTATTTGGAGGGTGGTCCCTGCTAAGTTGCCCAGGTAAGACTCAATTTTTCCATCCTCCTACCTCAGCTCCCTCAGTGCTAGGGCTATAATATGTGGGCCACCATGTTGGGTTATGATGTTAGTTCCTGTGATCTAAAATGTGGAAAACACTCCTGAGTTCCTCCACCACTTCTAGTGTGTTCACTTCAGTGCACATTGCCTTAGAAGTAGCACATCAGTCATTGTGCTACTGTGAGGTGTACATTAGGTCTCCAACACAGTCAAACCCCTAAAGCACAGGAGACTCACACATGCAGGAAAATCTTTGCACCTCCAGAGAGGTAACAGTGTGAGGTGACCAGTGTGCAGACCTCAGAAGGCCTCAGGATGGGGCTGGTAGCCAGGGAACCCAAGAAGTAGTTAGAGGTTTAGAATTTCTAGTCCTATAACCTCTTCCACCGGGACTATGGAGGGCCAGAAAATTCAGTCATTAAGCTGATAGAGAATGGCTTAGAATTTCTCCTTAAAAAGTAAAACATCCAGCCCACTGCCAGCATTCACTCAGCTCTGTGTAAGGTTGCTCTCTAAGGTGGAAGCAGATTCAATAGCACTATTGAATCAGCATGCTCCACACTGAGCAACATCATCTGTTCCAAAGACTACCAACATACAAGAGCACTGCAGTGATAATACAGCAAAATATTTCAAGGTAAGCCTTGAAATAAGGTTAGGACTCTACTGGATGTGATGTTATCTCAAGGTGAAGTCTGTAGCTACAAGAACAGCCAGTGCGGATTCCAGACAGTCAGGAGATAGGTCATCCAATCTGCCTGCACAGGAAGCTTCTCTAAAAAAAAACAAGGACTGCAGGATGATGAGTACAGGAGCTCTGGGCAGCTACTGGTCTAAATACAGCAGCATAATGTCCTCCATAACAAGAGACTAAAATGAAACGTTCTTTAAACTGCTCTAGCAAAGTATGTGACCTCAAAGAAGGCACGGGAAACTAGACATAGCTGGCTTAACAGCACACACCCTCTCCTGCTGGCCCTGGGCCCTGAAGTAGGGCAGTTATGAGGGACCTCATCCTCCCAGTCACTCAGATCCAGTATTGTCACTGAGTTGACCATGACAAAAGGAAGTGAGTTAAAACCAGGTGAGGATCCCTGGGAGCTGACTACCTGCACCTTGTGTGTTGTACTGACTACAGGAGATAGGGAATCTTCCATGAAGGCATCCAGTTTTGTTTGTAACTAAAGCTGAGTGACTTGTGACCACAGACAGACACCAGCCACCTACCTTGGAACCTCCTCATCATGTCCCTCATCCCAGGGATGCAGCACACAGTTCTCAGCTCCAGTGGGATGGGCTCAAGTTCCAGCCGTGAGACAGCCTTCCTTCTGCAAAGGACACAGCACCCACAGGCGTTAGGTAGCTTCCAACTGACCTTGCTCCCCACCATGGTCTCTGCCTGATCCTAGATGGGTCACGGGGGAAGGAAACGTACCGGCTCAAGACCTCACTCACATCCTGCAAGGCAAGGAAAAGTGGTTATCAGGCCTGAAGATGGTGACAGGAAATGGAAACCTCTTTAGAAGCTACTGGAAATTGTGAACCAGTATGATAAACCTGGAGGGGACAAGGAATCTGTTCCAAAGTGCTGAGCATCTGTCACCTCCCCCCACCTCACCTCCAGCAGACGCAGGGCTGGGCACTGGCTCTGCTGCTCCAGTTCCTCAGCTACCTCCTTCAGGGCCTTGCTGTGCTGGGCCAGCTGGACCCTGTTGTCCCGTAGCCTCTGCAGCGTCGCCTGCTCCTCCTCCTCCAGCTGTCGCAGCTGCAGCTGCTCCTCCAGAGCCAGAAAACTACGGTACTTGTCAAACTCCAGCCGGAATCGTTGTCTCTGCACATCCACTATCTCCTGGCAATACAGAGGACAGTAGGACAGGAGCTGAAGAAGGTGCCGTCACAACCCTGGGCTCTGGAAGGTGCCTACCAACCCTCTACAAAGGTGATATCCTTGGGATTGAGACCATGACAAAGTGGCTCTGAGCTAGATTTAACATTAATCAACTGGCTTTCCACATTTACTCATGAGTCTCTCCCAGCCCAAGATGACTTGTTCAAAGAGCCATGGCTAGTGTGCAGTAAGTGTAACTCTCCACTTCGTTGGTGACAGTAGGGGTCTGTATTGGCCTTTGACACTGTGACACCTCAGAATGCAAGATGAGATCACATCTTAAGACACCTAGCTCTTCCTCCAATTTAAAAAAAATTACACTGCAGCTGCAGCCATTTGGCTCCTGTTGTAAATGTCAGTGTTAGAGATAGGACAGATCTCTCAGCTGGCAAAATTTACTGCTTGGAGAAGTCTTTGGTCTAAACTTCCCAAGGTCCTGCTCAGTTTGCACCTTACCTAAGCATTCCTTCCTTTGTTTAGAAACCCAATATATTCAGTGATCCAGAAAATTCATGATCTTAGCTCTCAGAGACTTTTGAGCTCTCTGGATTCCCCAAAACCCATATTCCATTGTCTCTTTTTATGTAAGAGTGTATCCTAAGAGGCTCACAACTCAGGCATCAGGAGGCCACAGAGCTGTGATCTAAAATGTGGAAAACACTCCAGAGTTCCTCCACCACTTCTAATGTGTTCACTTCAGTGCGCATTGCCTTAGAAGTAGCACATCAGTCATTGTGCTACTGTGAAGTGTACATTAGGTCTCCAACACAGTCAAACCCCTAAAGGGTCAGGAAGGGTGGTACATGGAGAAAGGTTACTCTAATCTTCCATCTCCTTTGGACTGCAGTTATATCTGCAGGAACTTCTGTGGAATGCAGAGTTCATGTTTATGAAAACCATGCTTACTGCACAAGGATCACTGAGATGTTGTGTCTGCAGTAAACATACGTGCATTTACCAGGCCTTGAAAAACTTAGAATCTCCTCTATATTAGAATGAGCAGCAGAGTATTTTTTTAAATGTAGGAAAAGAGATGTTCAACACCAGGAACCCAATTTCATAAATATGTGCTCAGGACAGGCTTTGAAACCACACTTGGATTTGTTAGCCTGAAAAAAAAAACACAAACTGTAAATTACTGTTTGAATTTAACTAGACACAGCACTTGGGAAAGGTAACACACCAGAAGACAGAAATTTAGCAACTTTGTTCTCTATGAAAATTTCAGGCTGCATAAATTACATTTTTAGGGCAAAAAGAAGGAATAAGAAAACATAAAAGTAACAAGCATTGGTTTCTTAAAGAAAAGAAAAAGAGAAATATTCTATAAATATCCTGCTATATGAGAAACCCTGAAACACACTGTGTGCACAATGCACCCAAAGAGTCCCTGTATGCATCACAGCCTAGTGAGATGTGGCCACTGCCCAGCATACTGGGGGCATTGCACAGTTTCCTACTCCTTACCAGAAATGCCAGGTGCACAGGGCACCTCCTTACAGCTTGATAATCAGCAGAACTTCCAGCAAGGAAAAGCACTAAGGCTAACCTAACCCTGAACCCTAATCCTAACATCAGTATAACCCTAATCCTAAAAGCAATCTTAACCCTAATATAACCTACCCCCAACGATACCCCTAACCTTAACCCTAATGTTAATTAATGTTCTCTGCAGAGTCAAAAAAAAAAAATCTGAAAGCCACTCAGGCCTCCTTCAGACTTAGCTTCTGGTTATTTGATTGCTTTCTACCTGAATCTTACAGCTGAAATTTCTCAGTAGACCAAAGGCAGATAGTTTGCTACAGAAGGAGAAAAATGCCCTTGAAAACAGGGCAAAATCCCTAAAGCTGAGGACATATGTGCCTGTGTGTGAAGGTGTCTGTGTGTGTGTGTCTGTGTGTGTGCATGTGTGTATGTGAATGAAACAGGTAAGGGAATAAAAGGGCTGGTAATGTGCAGAAGATAAGGGATCAGTGCAAGGTATACCATCTGTTCCTCCTTCTAACAGGTTTGTTAACTGCAGCACGCACCGGTGGGCAGGCACACACCAGTGAATCTCACTGTAAGACTAGAGAGTAAAGCTGTGATCTGCAGTGAGCCGTGAGCCATGTTCATGAAGGTAGGAAGTAGGAATCGGAGCAGCATCAGAGGGGATTGGGATTAGAATGGGCCGTGATTCAGGACAAGACAGAAGCCAGCAGGAAGACTGGATCCAGCTCCAGTGAGCTTCGGAGCCCAGGGCCTGCTCACCTTCCACACCACGATCTTCTTCCCAATGGTCACCTCCTGTGCAGACACCTCTTCCACCTCCTTCCTCACTCCCTCCAGGGCCAGCTGCAGCTTCACCTGCTCAGGAGGACACAGAGAGGCCGTCACCAATACCTCCTTCAAGATCTGGCACCCAGACCACCTGACCAAGATGACAGAGACCCCAGAATGCTCCTGGACAGCCTGAGAAACTCTCCTCATTAGCAAGTAAACTAAACACAAATGCATTTCGACAACAGACCCACAGACTTGTCTAGAGGTACACTCACTGCACCATGTATAGCAGTAGCACTGTGATCCACCAAGTGTTACCATAGGAAAACACAAAACTACGTATTATTAACAGTAGAGTATATGAATGGGAGGGAGCACATATGACAAAATTACAGTTATAATCTCAAGTTAAACACACTTTATAAAACTTAGTGTCAAGTTGTAAAAAGTTTTATAATGAATATATAAAACCTAGTGAGCTAAAGGATATCATTAGATGAAATGCTGTCTTGTGGTGCTGGACTGCATGATGATTATTACTTAGGATAAGAAAACAGTTTATTATTAATAGCATTAGTCGTATTACTAGCCAGAAGAAATATGGTGAGCATTTTCAACAAAAAATATATTCCATTCTGAAAAATCTAACAAAATGATAACACACCAGAAGTTAAATCTTCCTTCCACGATGGAACCCTTGCTAGAGATAATTGTATAGATTATTTATGCCAAGCACCCATAACGATACAGAGAAGATCATCTTTACTAGAAAAAAATAAAAGTTCTATCAGCAGAGCTATGCAATCAGCCCTACACATAGGCAATCTGCTTTTAAAAGGGTGACAAAACAATTCTGTTATTCACAGTGACATCTGAGAATCTGTGACATTTGTTTGGTTACTGCAAAGAATGGGGAACTGTGACACTTTAAATGGACAAAAGCTCCCTCAGATCAGAGATTGTCAGTGAAAACGAGGAAGTGAGAACCCGTGCACTGTCTTCCAGGACAATGGGATCCAGCTAATTTTACGGACACCAAGTCTGCTTTCCACCAGAGCAGCAGGACTGTATCCCAGGGCGCAGGCCTCTGGACAGGCCGGTGAGGACTCAGGTGATACTTAGTCCTGTTGCTAAGGAGCCCGTGAAATACAGAGAGCAGCTGTGGAATCTACTCTGGCCGTGACTATCACAGCAGAACTTGGAGGAAATCAGCATCCCTTGCCTCATCAGCCTCTCCCAGTTTCCCACAGCACTCTAGGGGTTCCACACTCCCTGCCCCTAAGGGTGTCCCCCCTGCATCAGAGGAGGTAAACAAGAAGCCTCCCTGAACACAGAGATCTCCTGTTTCTTGGAAATTCACATCAAGGCAAAGCTTCCCCTAGTGCTGATAAGGCAAATCATATTCCTAGAAATTGTGTGACCCTTCAAACAGTGTACGTCCTCGAATGACAGAGAACATTGATGACTGCGTCCCTTTAGACAAGGTTTTTTAATGTCTTGAAGATATTTGACTCTCAAGGCTAAAATTGTAAATTTGCAGTAAAAACTACCTTAGTTCTTTTCAGTGCCCAAACCTCCAGAAAACATACTTTACCCAGAAATCTCCTTTCTTCAAGACGTCAGTCCTTTTGGACATAAAGTCCTGCCCTGCAATTGTGCACCGGAAAACCTCAGTCTGCCCCTCCTGACTCCCAGGGTCTCCCCTGTCTCCTCCCACAGGCAGGAGCACACTTCGGAGATCTACCCAGAACATTCTGCCTGAATTTTGCAGAAGACAACAGAAATCACTAAGAAAAACTGAGAGGCATTCCTGGGAAGCTCCACTGGGGAAGTTGATGTAAAATACCCCAATCCTTAGTTAAAACCAAACAGAAAGCATAAAGTAATGGAATTTCTAACAGAGCTGGTGTGTGCTGTTTATTACAGTGGTTCTTGGGTTAAAAATGTCTGTAAAGAAGGCTTCTGTCTCTTCTGCGGTCTCCCTGTCCCAGTGGGTTTAGAATGTGTTCGGGGCCATTTGAGGTGCTCTAGTAGGAAGGCAGAATTCCAGTGTCACAGGTGCCCTTCAGGGCCAAATTCTCCAACACCAAGCACCTCTCCAAGAAGGGTATGCAAGTCCATGTCTCCTTGGAGCAGACCCAGCCTGGCTCACTCTGCACCAGCTGTCTCTGCTCTCTCCCTCCTCTTCCCTTCAGGTCTCTCTTTCCCCCTCTCCTCCTCCCTATCAGGGGTGCAGCCCATCTCCTGCTCCTCTCCAGGCCCCAGTTTCCCTCACTTGGTGGCACCCCGAGGTCCCCAAGGAGGATGAGGCCCTGCACTGGCAGCCCCTCTCCCCTGCCACCCGGGGGGCTCCTCTCCTGCTGGTCCCCTACAGAGTCCGCTTCTTCTGTCCTCTCCCCTGGACCCTGGCCTGCAGGACTCCACCTGTGCCCTCCCCTGTGCTCCCTCACCCATGGGCCTCCCAGCTGCTTCCTGGTAGGTCTCTCCTCCCCTGCCCTGTCCACGCAGGGCCCTAAACCCGCTGTCCTGTCACCTGCTCTGCTCTGTCCTGTGTCTCCTGCTGTCCCCTGCTGTCCAGTCCCACCCGGTGTCCCCTGCTCCTCACCCTGTGCTCCTCCACAGCCTCCTGCAGCGCAACCATGCTGTGTCCCCGGTGCTCCTCCCCTGCGGCACAGGCCCCGCACAGAGCGTGTCTGTCCAGGCTGCAGAAGAGTGAGAGCTCCTGGCCATGCCTCACGCACAGCCCTGCATCTCGCTCGGTGTCTTTGGCCAGCAATAGGCGCTGCACGCTGTCCACCAGCGCCGCCAGCTGCCGGTTGGGCCTGACGCCCTCAGGCCTGAAGGCAGTGCGGCACTGAGGGCACCGGGGTTCAGGGCCCTGTGGCTGGGAATCCAGCAGCGTGCGCACGCAGGCAGCGCAGAAGCTGTGTCCGCAGTCCACGCTTACCGGCGCGCGTAGCAGGTCCAGGCACACAGCGCAGCGCGCGTCCTCCTGCAGCCGCACGCCCGCACCTGATGCCATGTGAACCAGAGGGCTTGGTCACTGGGGTGACCAGATGTCTGGGGTGACCAGGTGAGCGGGGTGGCCAGATGAACGGGGTGACAGGAGCGACCTCGGTGACAGTGCTACTGCGCATCTGCAGGAACCAGCGCTGCTGTAAAGCAGGCTCTGCTTATCTCCAAGTGCAGGCTGAGGGTGCAGCTCTGCCCACAGAAGGAACTGGTCCTCGCCCAGGACACCAGGGCGCCAGCCTCTCACTTCTGCTTTTTGAGATCAGTGTTGAGTGCTTTAGTGCCCTGTAACAGCTGAGTCATCTTAACATGAACAGTTCTCTAAGGTTGGCTATTCATTTCTTCTTTGCAGTACTGGGGTGGAAGTCCCGATATTTGCACTGAGCTACATTCCAGGCACTGTTTCCTGAGAAGGATTTTCCTAAATTGTCAAGTTACCCGGGCTGAGCTCTGTCTTGCAATCCTCTTGCTTCAGCCTCCCAGAGTGCTGGAATGACAGCTCTACACCTCCACTCCAGGTTTCCGGTTAAATTCTCATCTGGAAAATATTAGCGCCCACAGTTCAGTAAACACCCCTGGGCAGCTTCCTGAAGTGTGTCGTGGGGGTACCCTTGGACTCAGACAAAGCTGCTGGATTCATGCACATGGCATGTTTCACAGGAGCAGGAGGCAGTGGGGAACGCCCTGGCAGTGTCCCTGCAGTCCCTCTGCGGGTCCTGAGGGAGCTGAGCAGTTCCCTAGAGGGACCCAGGAGCACAGCGCGAAACACCGCACTGTTGGGGCAGAGGAGGCTGAGAGGGGGCCAGAGAGGGGTCACCTCTGCTGGGTGACTAGGAGCAGCACAAGCATCCTGAAAGCCACCTGGAAGAACAAAATCAGAGGCCCCTGCCGTCAGTGTGTAGAAGAGGTGAGCAGGAGGGGGCACTGCAGGTCAGTCTACTCCCAGTGGAGGAAGTATGAGTTGTGGGTCTCAGATGCAGCTTTGGGTGCAGAGGGCAGGAAGAAGAGGAAAGCATACAAGAGGAGACCAAAATGCAGAGTGACTGAAAGACACAGCTCTGTGGATCCCTCCGAGTCCTCCAGTCACTGGAGCACACTGGGCCACTGTCCTCCCCACATTCTGAAGCGGCTCTGGAGTCTTTTTTCCTGAGTGTCTTTACCAGGTGTGATTAAAACCATAGTGAATATCACTACCAACCACCACCCCAGGGAAAGGCAGCTCACAGAATCCTGATGCCACACCCCAACCTTCTTATCCACCAGCAGGCAGCCACGCTTTAGAGGAAGGCTACACCTCCTGTGGGAAGGCTGAGGGGCAGGCTGTGCCACATGTCACAGGTCACGGCCTTGTGACACTCATGTAAGGCTGAGGGAGGATTAGGAACTTCTGGACACCACCTGTGTTGACAGAGGTCTTGGAAAAGGGTGAGTATATAGAATGAAAGGAAAAAGGCAAAGGAATGTGAAGTGGGTAGAAAGGGGTTGGGAAATCATGGGCTGCATTAGGACAGTGTGTGTGTGTGTGAGTGTGTGTGTGCATGTGTGTGTGTCTGTGTTAACATGTGTTTCTATACTGCTCACTGCTGCACTCTCAGGACTGTGTAGAGTGACCAGCACTTAGGATCACACACTAAACAGTTTTCTGAGGCCTAATCAGGTCAAACAGAACCAGTGGGGTCACCCTGAGGCCGAGGCCCCTCAGTGCTGTGTGTGCCTTAGCCCAGACCCACATAACCAGCAGGGAAGACGGGACCCACACTTGGTGTTGGGGCCACATTCCTAGCAGCTGCAGTGATCTCCCTCTCCAGCCATGTGCAGCCCATTGCTGCTCCATCACTTCTGCTTCACCTGAGTGATACACTGAGAAGTACACGTGCTCAGACCTGCGGACAGGAGACAGCTGGCTCAGAAGAACCGTATTTCCCAGTGCCTTGCTGCAGCCTAGCATGCAGCTCCTGATGTTCCTGGGGGAGGATTCAGAGAAGATGGGAAAATACAGAAAAGGGATGAAGCTGAGAACAGGTGGAGCCCTGTTTACTGAAGGCAGGAAAGGAATTGCTCACCCTGCTCAACTACAGTAATTGATTCACAGGATCTGGAGGCTGATGGCAATTTCAGCATCCCTGTTTTGCAGCTCTGAGGGCATGCCTGGACTCCTGGTGATCTCAGAGCAGGAACAGCTCATTTATTTGGCTTCACCCAGCCTCTTGTGTTCTCAGGGCTGGCCTTGCTTTAACCCTGCACATGCAGTTGACCTCCAGCTTCAGAAGCTCTCCACGTCTCCCACTTCTCTGTTTTATAGTTGTAAGTGATGAGTGGTCAGTTGAAGCTGGACTTGCTGTGTTTGAAGAACTCTATGGAAGACCTTTTCATCTTGAACCCTTTCCACTCTGAGTGAACTTACTCATTTAGGCTAAAGATTTCCAGTCCAAGGATTTAAATTTAAATTCAGCAAATTAACTCTGTACAGTCCGTTAATCCATAAAAAATAGTCAGTGTCTGGTGAAGCTGGAAATTGGCAGAAGGTGTTAACAATTTGAGTTTCTTTTATAGCTGGCATATTACTATGGCACTGTTTTACACATTTGTGGTTATCCTTTTCTAGAAGACTTTCAAGACCAAGTTAGGGTGAGTCCTGTATTAATTAAAATCAATCTCTTGTTATCTCTCAGGGTTGGTTAAATCTCATGAGGAATTATCTTAAAACCATGCACAGCACCTCTCAGTACTTCTGTGTATCAGTGATCTGGATGTGTCATGGCCACTGCCTGACCAAGTTGCTTAATGTGAAATCATGGGAGATTTTCCTTTCCTGCTGACTCTCCTTAGGCACGCTAGGTATGATTGATCACTTTCCTCTGTCCTTGGTCAGAAGACCTGGAACTCACCAAGTTACAAGATGTCACAGCAGAGATTCTCTGATGTCCTGAGCCTTTATTGACCTCAAGGATCTGGGACCAAAATATTGGTTGTTCTCCTAGTCCATTTTACTTTCTAGCTTTTGGTCTGCACACCTCGGTTGCAGAATATCCAGGAAAGAAGGTTAATGACACTACATTGCACTGAAGGCAGTAAGCTTAATACTGCTGTCTTATTTAAAAATCAAGCACCTGGAAACATAAAACAGAACTAGTCTTTTCTAACAGACATGGGTGATCTAACATTTGAATCCCTGTAGGATGTTTACAGTTGCATATTTTATACAGAAACTCAGAAATCAAACCCCATGCATAATATCACAACATGACAATCATAACGATATTTCAAAATATGCTTAAACTTTCACTTTGATGTAGCATGGCCATATTAGTCAACCGTCCCTCACTAATACATAAAAAGTGTTTACCTAATCTGCTGTCCTTTAGTGGGATATATGTCATATGAGTGGTTATTACAGGCAGATGTCTGAATCTGAAAGAAAAATCTATCGCTGTAAACAAGCCTGATTCCACACTTTGGAAGATCAGCACATCTGCAGGCCTGAATACCTTCAATACACTGAAAAAATTAACAATCAGTTGTCTCATACATGTGAAAATTTGTGTGCTGGGGCATCTTTAAATTAAAAACCTTGTTGTCTAGAAAATGTAATCCTTTGAGGAAAGAGCAATGTAGACATATCACAATAATTTATTTTAATAATATTTATTGTGACATCCCCCATAAGGCACGGGGGCCTCCTATGAGTGAAACAAGAACTGGATAACTTTTCCAGGCAGCTACTTTTGTCCAATGATGTTTCCCCATCCTAAAGGATTTTTGATTAATTATCTTAACAAGTTTGGTGACCTATGGGAAAACCAAATCAGTTATCATTTTGAGCAACTAGCAACTTGAATGAAAGCACACTTTTTAAATCTATAAACCAACTTAAATTATGAACAAATGATTAAAAATATAAAAGAAAAAAGGAAAAAATTGAGATCAAATAAAAATAGTTGCTAATTTATTGGACAAAGGACAAATGCACAAGTACATAGCACAACAGATTGGACAGACAAACATCTTACAAAATCAGAGTGCACATAAATACATTTTTGACTGAATTTAACTATAATAACTGTTTGTAACTTTAGAATTTATCTCAATAATTAAACTAGTCAAATTTTATTTTAGGTCAGTAGGAAAAGATGTCTGAGGAAGAGTTTGGAAGGAATAAAATCCTTTTTTATCCTTAATCCATATATATCTTTATGTGTTATTTTATCTTAAGAATACTGGCACCTTCTGTGTCCATGTCTCTCATGTAACTGTCAGGTCATTTATCTCTAATCACTCTACCACCTGCTCAGACCTCTGATTCCCATTTGTGGTCAACACATCCTGGGCATTTTGAGTCAACTCCTTCAGTCAGCTCTCGGATGGGTCCAGCCCCATTTTTGTCTTTCAGCAGTAGAGTGAACTCCAAGACATCCCTGCCATAGGACTGAGCATCAGCTTCTTGAGAAGTGGAATTAACACTTTCTCCAGGTCTAGGTCCATCACACAGTCAAATAGCATGTTCTGATACCCAGACAGGCCATTCAGTGTCGTCTTAAAAGACATAAGAACAGACTTGACCCAAAATTCACACTGGCTTGGGTTCATTATTCCATTGTTTAGCATGAAGATCATCCCAAAGGACCTTCCTAACTTCTTTTCTTTTGCCTGATTGAACTGGCTTTCTGCTGTTGTACTTTTATTCACAGGAGAATTTTAAAATTTAATAGTACATTGTGTCAAGTGAAGTCTATTATGAGGTGCAGATTGTAGTTAAGTATTGATCCTCCATACTTCCCAGATTTATTATTTACTTTTACTTTTCCAATATACTTTATTTGAAAGAAAAAAATTTGAAACATAATACTTTAGGGGTAACAATGGTATATAAATTGCTATATGTTTTTTTTCTTTCAGTTTCTCTGATTAGTAAGACTACAAGGTGTTTACACGAGTGTCTAGTTTATTTTACTTTTTAGAATAATCTCAAGTCGCATCTATTTAACTATAAAAGTCTCTAGTTTATCTTTCTTCTTGACTGAGTAGTACTCTGTTGTATAAAATTGCCATATCTTTTCGTCTATTTCTCAGTTGATGGGCATTGAGGTTGTTTACGAGAAGTACCTATTAGAAATTGTGTTGCTATAAACATGGGTACACATATATCACTTGGTATAATGTTTTTAATTGTTCTGGGAAGACAATCAGAAGTTGAAAAGCTGGGCAAAATGGAACCTCCAATCCTACTTTTTTGAGGAATCACCACAGTGATTACCACAGCCGTTACAGCAGTTTAC